GGTTGCAAATGGTGATCATGCGATTCTGGAGGTGCTGCCACATTCCTAAGTGAAAAGACCATTCATAAGTCATTTTTTTCATTGATGTTATAACTCAGAACATTTGCGAAATGAATGGCTATGAGTCAAGGAATACCATTATAGTTTCTACCACAGTTTTCAGCTAATAGAAAAAGAATGTTTCTGCGTTTCCCTTTGGTTGTTCATTCAGCTTCCACAGAAGCCAGTTATTATGTATGGTTTTAGAAGCCCATTTGCAGAACATGAATGTAGTAATATTCTCCCAGGGGTGTTCCTTAACAACTATTTTTAAGAAGCATGAAAATATTAGGACTCCCTTGAGACTCCTGCTAATTACATGGACATATTACTGTGGTTTTCTTCGGCAACAGCCTCCAAATGATTTGCCATTGCCTTCTTTCATTGGGTTAACCCTACTGGTCTGCAAAGTGCCAGATGACTCAAGATAATTGCAGAGATGTAGAGAATTTCCTCATTACTGCCTCCCCAAGCAGTCATCTCTTTTGTAGTAGTAGCCCCATAGTTTTGTTTTGTTTTGTTTTTTAATTTTCAAATCCAGTCTATTTATTTATTTATTTAATAGAATTTGTCAAACAAAAATGAGAACAAGAATAAAAAAATACAAATACAAATGACAGGGACGATAGGCACATTAGTGCACTTATGCACGCCCCCTCTAGTAACCACTTAAGTGTGATGTAAGGTCCATGGAAGTCAATTTGTGACTGAAACTCTGAAAATGTGTAGCTGAATTAGGTAGAGCATTCCAGACTTTGACGACTCTATTACAGAAATAATATTTTTTACAGTCAAGTTTAGAAAGATTTACATGGAGTTTAAAGTGGTTGTTAACGTGCGTATTATTGCGATTAAAACAACAAAAGTCATTTACTGGTAAAACATTACTACGTATAATTTTGTATGCAATACCTAAGTCTGATTGCATTGTCCTGTTGCCCTGATGGTTTCCCGTTCAAATACTAACCAGGTCTGATCATACATTTTGAAAACAGCCATGCTCCACTAGTATCTGTCACTGAGTTCTATAAAGAGAAGCACCCTGCCTCTAATAATAGGGGGAATATAGTCTCGCCATAATTAGCAGCTATTGATAGGCTTATTTTTCATGAATTGTTTGGCCTCCCTTTAAATCCAAGTTGGAAGTCATTTGCATATCCTGAATTAACAAATTTAATTAAATGTCCTTCGGTTATGACAATCCCAAGATGTTCCCAAGATCTAGTGCTCTCTTTTTTTGGTATATGTTTTATTTACAGTTTTTCTTTAACAACCAACATAATTTGTGGACAGTGTAATGAGTGGGACAATACATTTTTTACACAGTGCTGACAATACTAATACAATTACTTATACATGGTTTTAACTTCCAATTTGTACCCCTCCCCTTGTTGAGGTTCTTCCATATTCACCTCTTTATCTTTAAACAATATTATTCTCTCTTTAAAATACTATATTTGAACATCAATTACATTTCTTCATAAAATCTGTTTGTTGACCCCCTATTAAATCATCAATATTTTAGTATTTAAAATATTACTCAAAATCTACCATGTTTCCAAAATCTCAATTTTCTATAAACACCAATAAAAAAACACTTATTAATAAAACTCAATCGCTCCCGGGATTATATCTCTGAGTCCCCTGAATTTGTAATCCTAAAAACTAAGAGTTCCAATATATTTTTACCCATTGTTAATCATGATAGTACATTTGGGTATGCTTAATCAGAGTCTTCCATCTCCTAACCTGATATATTTATGGTTATAATAAATTCTATTTTTATCTACATTATGTATTGCTATTTTCCCAGTTTATCCATTACTTTTTAATACAATCATAGTATTACAAAATCTTATGTCTCTACCCATCATCTCTCGGCCTTTTTAGAATTCCATCATTTACTGATTTTTTACTGATTCTTTTATATTTCTCTCTTGGGATCCTATATTTCTTTCTAACATTTCTACACAGACTGAGTGTTCCTTCTGCCTTTCCCCTTATCTCCTTTTGCTGCATCATTTGGATACCCATCCATATACCTTCCATTATTTTAGGGAAGTTCTCCTTTTTTTCTCTATACTATTAAACTTTTAGGGGATTGTCTTCTTGATTCTTAGTATTTATTGTTATTGTCTTTTCATTGTTTTTATTTTTTTTGTAGCTTATTTTGATTTGTCTCCTCCCCCATTTCTTCTAATTTCTCATCTGTTACCTGAATATGTTATTCATCTTTTCCCACCATTGTTGAGGGTCTTCTACACTCACTTCTTTATTGTTAAATGATCCCCTCATTTCCTTATACTTCTTTGTCATACTTTCACAAAAACTTTTAACCATCATTAGCATTTCTTCATAGAACTCTATTGTCTCCTGTTGAATCATTTTGAACCAGGTTAATATATTAAAAATTACTCATGTATCTTTAATATTCCAGTATCCCAATATCTAAAAACTCCAAAAGAGTAAATCATTAATAAAATTTTCCAATCCCAAAATTATTCCTCCAAAACTTCTGGGCTTCTAGTCCTTAGAAGGTATAAATTTTACTTTACAGTCTTTGTAATTTCCAGTTTACTCCTTCCCAATTGTCCAAATTTTAAAGTTTTATTTATCTTTTCTTCTTCTTTTTCTCTTCTTTCAATGAACGATTCAATAAGGTTTTAATTTTTATAGTTCAAATTGCCTCAAACATTTTCAGACAGCTTGGTAAATATTTCCAGGTTTCCTAATTGTCTGCAATGCTAAAGTCAAGGTCAAATAGTTTCCAGCTGTTGTTGTTTTTCCTTTCAGCACTTTCCTTCAAATTTATCACATTGCAGTAATCTTCTTCCTCCAGTAGATGGCTCTCCCACTCCCAATTCCAACCGTAAACCAATTCCACAGTATAAAAATCAAAACAGCTGCCTATCATCCATTCAGGGGAGTTAAAAATAAAGTTTAGAAAAGCAATTTCTCCCAATAGTCACTTTTCACAAGTTGTTCAATTATTTCCAGTCTTTTCCTAGTTTGAAATTTAAAGGATATTTCTTTTGCATCTGAATTTTTAATCTTTAGTCTCTAATTAATTAATCAATTAATTAATTAATTAATCTCTAATTTTTAGCCTTTACTCCTTCTCAATAAATCCAATAACCGCTTTTTACTATTTGGAGGTTATTTTTTTTATAATTTTTGCTTGGGTTAAATCTTTGGTGTAGGAGTTAGAAGTTATCTCACCCAGTTTCACTGCTCTGTCCATGCACTGCTCCAGCATAAGATCTTAATGTCCCGGTTGTTCCAGCTTGTGACAGACCAAAATGGCCATAGTCCCTGCTGCTGTTCGGGAGAGCTTTCTTCAGATCAGGGAGGAAACTGAGGTTTCCTTGCGATCGACGAAGCCCCTCTCCTTTCTTCACCATGCCTCCAGGGTGGCTTAACCTGTAGGGTCTCCCAGCAAGCAGTTGCCAGCTGCATTTCATGGAGCCCAATGGGGCTCCGCTATTTTCCAGCCATTGCTGCCGTGATGTCAACCGGAACTCCCAAGATCTGGTACTCTTAAAGACTAAAACTCTTTGGTATGTTCTCTATATAATGTGTGTGTGTGTGCATAAATGTATACACATGTAGCCCACCGGTATATATCCGATGATACCTCCTTTCCAAATTGTTCCATATTCAGAGAAAATAGAGGGAAATTTTGAGCTTCAGCTGGATTTCAGCAAAAAATATTAAAGTTGCTGCCTTCAAGAAAAGTGGACTCCTGACAGAGAGGAGGGGGACTTTCATTTACCCTATAAAAGGTAGGGGGGAAACCTTCAAATTCAACTCCTACTGAGAAAAAAACCACCCGTGTAATGTTGCTGTTATTTCTGGAAGGAAAGAAATAATTCAGCTTTCTCCGCAAAGACAATACAGAGTTACTCTTTCCTTCAAGTTATTGATCTGGTAAAAAGGACTAATTTTCCTCCAGATTGTTCCTTTCTTAAAAGCATTTCTCAAAACTAAGTGATCAATAGGCTAATCCTTACCTGAAAGCCCATGTCTCTTCAGCTATTTGATGATCCTTGTCATTTTAACCTTGCCCCTTCGGTTCTGCTCTAAAAAGAATAAAATATAATGGAAGACTTTCTTTTAAAAAACTGTTTTGTGTGTGTATGTGTGTGTGTGTATTACACAACTTAGGCTAGATTAGCAGTCATGCATTTCTGTACATGAGGAAGGCTTCGATGAGAAATCCCATTTTAAAATAATGACGCCAAATGTCCATAAAAAGCTCAGTTGTGTCTAACTCTGGAGGGGGAAGGGTGATCATCCCCACTTCTTAGCCAAGGGAGCCAGCTTTGACAAAGATGTTTCCTTGGACATGTGACCAGCATGACTATATGCTGAGGCGCACGCCTCATGCAACACTATTACCTTCCCACTGAAGTGCTACCTATTTATCTACTCATACTGTATTTGCATGTTTCAAACTGCTAGGTTGGCAGCAGCTGAGTCAAGAAAGGGAGCTTACCCAGTCATGTGGTACTTGGGCTGCAAAATGTCAACATTTCAGTTGACAGCCCAGCTTCCCGAACCATAGGCCAGAGGTCTCCAAATTTGGCAGTTTTAAGACTTGTGGACTTCAACTCCCAGAATTCTGGGAGTTGAAGTCCACAAGTCTTAAAGTTGCCAAATTTGGGGACCCCTGCACTAGGCCAAAACTGCATATAAAGAAACTTTACTTTGGAAAAGGGGAATAACAAGGGAAGACCACTATCATACAGCCAGGTTTACAAATGAGAATTAATAAGTCATTCTAGATGGTTCAACTCTAACTATGTTTCAGTCTGTACTTTCTCACTTTTTTATAAGGGTAAATAATTCATAGTGAATAGTTGCAGTCAGAAGGGAGAATCAGAAATGAATGTCAGAGGTATAATGTATATAAAGTCTTTTAGGATATCAATGCTTATCCATGTCTTCTTTTTTAATTTCAGGATGCATTTCGGGCCTTTCATCCAGATATCACCTTTGCAAAGAAGTTTCTTAAGCCATTATTAATCGGAGAACTTGCTCCAGGAGAACCCAGCCAAGATAGAGGAAAGAATGTAAGTAAGAGATGGCTTCCCTTTCTTTTACATAGCAAGACTAAAAAGAGCCTGAAGGAAGTGGCATCACATGAAGCATCTGTAAGAGAGAAGGGGAGAGAAGCATTGACGTTAAAAATAGGGCAGCAAGAAAATAAAGTGGAAAAGAAAGTAACAAAACAGAGAAACTGAAGACCAAGATAAGATACTGAAGAAATTGCAAGTGCCTTAAGTTGGGAATACATTGTTGTGTCTCCTTACCTATTACTAGCTGAATTCCACTCAGGCAACAAAATATGCTGAAGGAAACCCATGCATAAAGCATTTGTATTATGTCTAAGATATTTAACCCAATAGAGTTGTGCAAATCTTTGAAGGGGTGCTTCATTTTAATAAAGATTCAAAAGAATCAATCTTTGGAAAAGCCAAATGTTTCTTCTTCCTCCTCCTCCTCTTCTTCCTCTTCCTCTTCCCCCTCCCTCTTTTGCTTCCCCTCCTATTCCTATTCCCCCCTCCTCCTCCTCCATAAAAGACAATGCAAACTAAACTCAGAAAGGAAAAGAAAAATAAAGAATAGAAACTGCAAGAGAAAAGAAAATAAGCAAAAAAGCAAGATAAGAGAAAAGAAATATTTAAAGAAATGACTTCCACTTTTCATCACAAGAACAAACAAATTTAGTAATGTTCAATCTCTATAAGATTGCATACATATCTCTTCTTCCCTTATCCATATGCAAATTCATAAATCAGGGTCAGCAAAATGTATGTAAAGGATTCACAGAATTTTATAGAAATGTCTTATTTTAACCTTGGTCAAAGAAACCAACTTTGTACTTCTTCCTTTTGTCTCTACCAATTTTGATCTTTAATTTGATTAGATGTTATCATTGGATTTAATATCTTGTCATTTTTTCCCATCTCAAAGGCTTCTTTGAGGTTTCAGCAAACCTCTTTTGTAAATCCAATAAAGCAGTAGGTGCTCTCCTGTCCTTATCTGGAGAGGTTCAGTGGTGGGCTGCTGGATGGTCGGCGAGGTTCGGGCAAACTCCTTGCTGTGATCTCTGGCTGGGCTCATCCACCCACCCTTGTGCTATGCTTTCCCTAAAATAACTAACTTTTCTCCCGCCCAGGCTGCCCAGGTGAGTTCCATGCTGCCCTGCTGTACTCCCCGGAGCTGCCTGAGTCTATTAGCTGCCTGTCTGAAGCTGCGTTGCAGCCCCAAAGTGGCGTGTGTGCATGCACGCTCACAACCAGTGAACCCCTTGTCAACAAAAATACAACCCACCTCTGGAGAGGTGGCACTCAACCAGTGGTACTCAACCAGTTTCAACTGGGAAACTGTGAGCATCCTAGAGCAAGCTAAATCCAAAAATACTAGGCAATTCCTAGAAGTTTGGCATTCAAACAAATCACTAGATAAGCTATCATAAATAGACAGATAGAGCTAAGCTATACTTACATACCACTCAAAGGAGACAATAAAAAGACTAAGATGGAAATAAAAAGACAAGAATACTTCCTCTCCAACAACCAATGCCCAGACAAGCATTAACACTAGACAAACAACACTAGACAAGCAATCTTGCAGGAAACAATACCTTAATCAAGGAACTACCAAGGAGAAAATCACATCCCCACTGAGGGGACTTATATAAACAGGGAGCAAATCCCATACTCACTAGCACTGGTGTTACTCTGTTGGACAATGAAACATCTGTAAACAAACAAGCAGTAAACACAAAGATTCCAGTCTGAGCTACATGTATTCACTTCCATGGAACTGCTCCAGAGGTGATATTCAGCAGGTTCTGGCCAGTTCTGGAGAACCGGTAGCAGAAATTTTGAGTAGTTCAGAGAACCAGCAAATACCACCTCTGACTAGAGATTTTACAGCATCCTTCCCCTGCCACGCCCACTAAGCCATGCCCACAGAACCGGTAGTAAAAAAAAATGAATTCCACCACTGAACTGCTCTATTTCACAGTTTTTACTTTTTAGACCATGACATCATCTCTATTTGTTCAGAGATGTGCTAGCTCGCCATCCTTCATCCAGAAGCCTGTCTTCTGGATCTCTGATGGTTTTAAAATAGGAAGTTCCAGTTGCAATACTAAAAGTGCAACAGCATTTGTCCATTCATAACATGTGCAAAATTTTATTTCTATATCTCAACTGTTGATTGAGGCTTTAAGATGATATGAAACACCTTGATAAAGACTGTTATGTTGCTTTTGAAGTATGATCTTTCCTGAGGCAAAGCTTCGACTCCTCACACAAGCCTAAGCATGCAGCTGAAGTTAGAAACAGTGGTACCAGGAAGCAGGAATTATCAGGGAAGTAAATATTCAGGGATTTTTCATCACTTCTTATTCCACCTGCTAGGATTTTGCTCCCTACCTTCTCTCAATTAGCTACTTATCAAACCAATCATATATATTCCATCTTCAAATGAAAAAGAAAAAGAAAAAATTTGGGAAGGCACATAGGATGTAGGATCTGTTGGGAATTCTTTAATCCCTGCACCTTTCTCAGGATTTAAAATACCTTTTCATCTTCCAATCTAAAGTGCTCACAGCCCTGTCCCTTCTTCTTCACATGAGATCGGATCTGGTTTTTCTACCTGAAAGCAACCTGTGCATGGCCCTTTAGTAACCTGAAGCTTTTCTGAACTCTGACTTGGAAGGTAGCTTCATTAAAAATGGCCCCTGATTCTTCTTTCTCATCTGTCCCTTGTCTCCCAGCCATTCAGAGTCCCACAACTCCCAGCTGTTCAAGCTATCAATTATTCAGCCCCTCTGCTTTGGTTGAGCAGTTGCAGGCAAAAGCCCTTCTATTCCCTCTTTCTATTTTTGGAGGTTACAATTAGGACAACAAGCCAATGTCTAAACATCACCCTGCAAATGCTCCATTAATGCTTTCAGTATTCCTTACCAAACAAAGAGAGTGGTGACACTTAAGTGGTATTAATTGGTTCCTACAGCCTACAGCTAGGTGGAAATATTGAGAAGCATAAGATTTATCATGTTATATCTCATTAAATTAGTCCTGACAATGGCCACAGCAGCCACCACAATTAAAATGGCAAAATACTTTGGTATTTATGTCCTCTAAACTTCATGAGCAGAAACTCAAAGAATCTCACAGGAGGCATTATTTTTTTACCATTTATATAAAGACCTCATGTTAAAAAAAAACTTCCCTACATTTGTGCCATCTACATCTGAAGGATGATACAAAAGATCCTTACTGCTCTGAACCAAATAGTTACCTGTCATGTCAAATTATTGAGCTTTCAATACATGTGATTACAGCAGCAAGGTTAGCTTGCTGCCAAGTACCAGAATTAGAAGGATCTAGAATCAAAAGAAAGTAGAGTTGGCAGAATGGATGATTAGAATTAGAAAATACTGTATAAATGTATAGATGTATAAATGAATATAAAACATGTATTCCATGCCATAATATGTATGACAAACAGGATTGTCAGGATGATCACACCACGTCCAGTGTTTTTAATAATTTACTTAATAAAACTTTAAAAATAAAAAATAATTAAAAAAATATTGAGCTTTCATTTAGCAGCCCACACTAAAGTCAAGAAGAGTTCAGAAATAAAAAGTAGAACTCTGTGTTCTGTGCATCCTTGGATCTAGAATGTAGCATTTGGAGAATCAGGATGCGTATAATATGTTTTGTGTTATTTTACATCATATCATATATAAACCATATATCATATCATGATATATTTTATCCCACCTGTATAATTTTTATAAATAACTAAAGGTGACGAACATATTTTCTCCTCCTATTTTCCCCAGAATAACAACACTGTGAGGTGAATTGGGCTGAAAGAGTGTGACTGGGCCAAAGTCACCCAGCTAGCTTTCATGAGTAAAACAGGACTAAAGCTCAGTCTCTTGGTTTCTAGCTTAGTGCCTTAACCACTAAATCAATATTAATATTTTTTCCCTTCTGTTCAGTTTGTGTCCAATTCTCAGAACTGTATGGACAAGTCCTGCAGTTTCCTTGGCAAGGTTTTTCAGATTTGGTTTGTCATTTTTCAGAAGTGGTTTCTTAGGGCTGAGAGAGAATGACTGACCCAAAATCACCCTGCCAGTTTTCACGCCTAAGAGGGGGACTAGAACCCACAGTCAGCTATTTCTAAACAGGAGCTTCAAATGCTACACAAATTGGCTGTTTATGATGTGGTGTGGTATAGTATGGTGTTTAATTATTTTACAGGGCAGTTGAAGTAGATATATTAAAGCAGAAAATTATATAGAAATCTTGCTACACAATCAAGCACTGAATCCGTGAAATTCAGCATTGGCCTGAGAGAGAAGGGTTAGCAGGGTGAAGATTGTGTAGTGCTTAAAAGTAAAGCTGCCCATTTGAGTATAAAACATCCAATATCTTGTTTTTTCTTCTTTTCAGCCTCAGCTAGTAGAAGATTTTCGTGCCCTGAGAAAGACAGCAGAGGACATGAAGCTATTCAAATCCAATCCTATATTTTTCTCCCTTTATTTGATTCACATCATTGTGATGGAAGTTTTGGCTTGGTTAATGGTATCATACTGTGGGACAAGTTGGAGCATAACCTTTGTCCTTTCCATCATCCTCACAGTCTCTCAGGTGAGTTTTTGTTTGCTAAATACTGAAAGTTATCTATGCTTGGTCACAACGTTCATCTGTCATTGAACTCTTTAAATAAATGTACAAGTTACTTAAACTTCTAGGTGACTGTGCTTTTTGGTGGGGAAAGTGACACAAATTATAATTCAAGAAACTAAAATCAATTAGTCATTATTCGAAAGATGATTTGTTCTCAATATTATTATTATTTTTGCTCTCACCCCAAATAGTTGCAAACTGTCAGCTTTTGACTTGCAAACTGATTGAACTTATCACCCCACTTTTTAAATTGGTTTTTGCCAAGTAAAAGAAAAAAAAAGAAAATCCCACTAAAAGAAAATCCTACTAGGTCTCATCACTGCCCAGACCTAGAGTAATGACAACCAAATATCCTGTGTTCCACACAATTGAGTGTTAATGACTGAAAATCAGCTTGCCACTGTTGCATAGAAAGCCACTGGCACTATTTAATATCTCAATTTAAGAATTGAAGGCCGGGAAGCAAGAGAGTCTGGGCAAAAGCAGGAAAACTGGAGGAGGAGATGCAGAAATCACAGATCTGCTCCAGAGTAAGGAAAGAGGCAGTAACAAGATGCTGGTCAGGTACTGGCTAGTCACTCCAAATGCAGAGATTTCTGCATTATGGAAAAAATATTTAAATGGAAAAACATCTACAAGTAGTCCTCGACTTACAGCCATTCATTTAACAACTGTTCAAAGCTACATTGGTATTTTTATAAAGTGACTTATGACCAGATCTTGCACTATCTCCACATCTCCATAGTCACATGATCAAAATTCAGGTACTTGGCAGTTAGCATATATTTACAATGGTTGCAGCATCCCGGGGTCATGTGATCACCACTTGTGATCTCCCAACTGGCTTCCAACAAGCAAAGTCAATAGGAGAAGTCAGGTTTGCTTAATGACCTTGTGATTCACTGAACAACTGCAGTGATTTGCTTAACAACTGTGACAAAAAAGGTTGTAAAAATTAGGCTTACTTAACAACTGCTTTACATAACAATGGAAATCCGAGTCCCAATTGTGGTCATACATCAAGGACTACCTTTCCTTTGAACACAGTTGTAATATTGGAGAAGCATTACTGAATGTTGCTTAACAGATTGTTGTTAGCAACTTTCCAAACATCCTTCTCTCGAAAACCATTGACAGAGGCTGCTGTAGCTCTACTAAAAGTAACTTTGGGGACCCACTTCTTTGGGTTATGAGCTGGCAATGTGGTGTTTGAATTCATTTTGTTTCAACCACAAAAGCATACAGAATTCTGAGTGGAAAACATGTATAAATGTATGTGTTTTTGTACAAACCAAAGAGTGGGCAACTTTAATTTAGTCAGTTGTCCCATTAATTAAAATGGAAGGTAAGATGTAGATCAGTTGTATGATGTTACTGTATGGAGCAGGGGTGGAATTCTCCTCTCCTCTTTTTAGGGAAGGAATGAACTTTGCAGTTTTTTAGGTTTATTAAGTTCTGGTTTTTGTAGTTCAAATTTAGGTGAAGAGACTAGATGTGCAACTCATGGATGGTGAGATGCCCACTGTGCCATCTCAAAAGTATCTTTGCACTCCTTAATCCTTTTTTTTTTCTTCCCAGGCCCAGGCTGGGTGGTTGCAGCATGACTTTGGACATCTCTCTGTATTTCAGAAGTCTGTATGGAACCATATAGTTCATAAGTTTGTGATTGGTCACTTGAAGGTAAGGCCTATGCCTGTCAAATTACAATAGAACAACTGCATCAAGATCTAATGATGCTATGTTGCTCACTCATTTCTGAAACAACTCTAGGCCTTTCACATAACCATGATAGAAGGTACTCATAGGAAATGGGCTTCCCAATTCAGGAAAATTTAGAGAACCGGTGGATTATATTTCACTCTTAAATTCTACAATCATGCTTTCCAGATTTGCTTCTGAATAAGAAATAAGCAATCCATTTTAAAAGAGTTTGTGTTGAGAATTGTATGTTGGTAGCTAGCATTCATAGATCCTAAACAGTATTAAAGAAGACAAAGCATACCTTTCTTTGCAATTATCATGTCACCATTTTAGCCAGGTCCAACTTAATCTCCATTTGCATGGGAAGAATTTATAATTCAGAAACCAAAGCTGAAAGAGCTACTTGAGGATAAGTTAATTATAGTAATGGTCAATAAACTCTTAAAGGCACGACAAAACAGGGAACATGCCAACAATGAGAGATGCTAGGAGCTGTAGTTACAAGGAAGGAGTTTAAGCTAAATATCAGGATGACTAACTTCCTGATCATACTAAATAACCCATAGAACAGATTGCTACAACATGTGGTTCTTCTTTACTAGCGACCTTCTATCAGAAGCTGCATGTTCTTCTCTCAGAGATGTTTCTCCAGATCCTGCACTGACCAGGGGATAGATGATGAAATTTATGGCTACTTCCAGCTCTGTGATTTTATGATAATACATGGAATGCACAAAATGAATAAGCAGAAATCATCTATTTTAAACTGATTAGAAGAACACTTAGAACAGCTTTGTTTAAAAATCTCCATATAACACATTTAGCAGTCACAATTGGGATTGGCAACTTGTTTAGAGTCTATTTGCATAATTCAGTTGCTAAATAGGACTATCTATCATTATTCTATAATTATTCTATGCTATCTATAACTTTGTTGCATGTATCCTTACGATCTATATTGACTGTTTCCTAGTATGATTTGATTGCTTATTGTACCCTACGACTATCATTAAGTGTTGTATCGTATGATTCTTGACTCTTGACAAATGTATCTTTTCTTTTATGTATACTGAGAGCATTTGCACCAAGACAAATTCCTTGTGTGTCCAATCACACTTGGCCAATAAAAAAATATATTCTATTCTATTCTATTCTGTAGAATTTTTAATCACAAACCCTAATGGCTATTACCTTCGATGGCTTTATGGAACATTAGTTCAATTCATAGAGGACAGCTCTGTCAATGCAATTGGTCTATTAACAATTGTCTATAGATATTCTTGGGGTCAGGTTAAATCTTCTGCAAGAAATATAGGATATGTATATCTAGTTGGAAGGAACACAATGCAGTTAAGTAGCCACAATGAGCTGAATTCAGGCCCTTACTTTTAATGGAAGGAAGGTGTTTATTTTGTATTTTAATACCAATATAGTTAATAAAGATATATGCATCAAATCTAACCTAATTTCTTGCTTTTCATAATTCTTTGAAAATTACAATATGTACATGAGGAAAAATTATATATACAAAAGCATATTATTTGGAAAAAATGCATTGTTTGGGGGGGGGAAAGCATTACAAAATGAGAAAACACCATAAACTAATGTAGGCAATCCAGCTTTTTAAATTGGAGAAAGAGAATACATTTTAAAGTCATTGTATAATTGATGAAGAATGGGTGTCCTCCAACTTTGGAGTATTATATTTTGTAATCATGAAAGCATGCAGTATCTATTTCCATTGTCCTTCTGTTTCTAAGCCACTGATATAGAATTGAAAAGAACATGAGGATCCACAAAAACAATAAGCCATCTGGAACAAAAGTAATACATGAAACAACTTCTGTGTAAAAGGGAACCATTATAACAAAAAAGTGCATCATATGATCCAATTATGCATTTTGAGCACCTCTTCAAAAATTAGCTGATCCTATCAAATTCTTCCTTGCAAAGATATAAACTAATAATTATCTGTAACATAGTAAATGCCAATATTTTTTCTGTTCATGTTCATAGGCTGGTTGTTACCTGATCCTATGTTGTCCCATATTTTTGCCTATGCAATTCTAATAATTGTTATTTCTGCTTTATTATTGTGTAAAAAACATATTTAATCTTCTGAAGGTTTTCTGGCTAGCAGCCCATTTCTAAAGGGCAAAGGATTAATAAAAGGTGTTATCTTTCTGCAATTTTAGCAGAAAGATTTTTTTTAATGTTGCAATCCTCAAATAACAACAACCAGACACTTGTCTTTTAATTCTATTAAGTGATCTATAGTACTGTATACATTCCACATTCTACCTTTGTGCCATGCTGCCTTTTTTGGCAACTCTTATCAAAAGAGGGAGAATTCCTTATTTGGCAGGACTCCAACATTTTTATATTTACATTTGATAGCTTACCAAGTATTAGTTGGTTGCAGAAGATTCTTTGAGGAAAGAGTTATAATGGACTCTATATTTCTTTCAGTTGTTTCATAAATATTTATCATCTTGAATATAAATTATTACCTGTAATGAAAGGGTTGTCCTGCTAAGGGACAGCACCTCACTAATCTTGACTAATCTCAGAAAGGGCTAAGTGGACTTAGGTTTGTATTGGATGAGAGGCAACTAGCAAATCATAGGGTTGTAGAAATCAAAGAAATCAAAAGAACCTCAGAAGCAAAAGAGAACTACTGTGTCATTGCCAAGAAAATCAAATGGTCTGTCTACCATGTTATCAAGGGAAGGTTTTACATTGTTAATCCCCCTCTTTGGTGGTATTCAAATGATGACCTCAACATTACTAAAAAATATGGATTCTCCATATGTGTCCATAGGGTGCTTCAGCAAATTGGTGGAATCACCGGCACTTTCAGCACCATGCAAAGCCAAACATCTTTAAGAAAGACCCAGATGTGAACATGCTGCATCTCTTTGTCTTGGGAGATACCCAACCTGTGGAGGTAAGATGAAAAGATGTGAATTCAAGCACCTCAGATCCAAAGAAAATCCCAGAGGCAGTAGACACCCAGGAAAATTTAGCCCTCAAGGCAAAAAAAATAGATAATTTACTAATTCCTGGAAGAAAAGGGAATACTACAGACGCTTCTATTAACCAGTGTCCGTAACAAGTGTGCTCTCTCTTAATCCTCATCTCTTGCTTTATCTGCATCACTCTGATGGAGTTCCTCAGAATGATATTTATTAGCAAAACTCACAGCCATGATACAATGCATTACTCTTTTTCAGAATCATATTATTAGGACTGCTATTGTTCTTTTCGATTATGCTGTTTTTGTACTGCTCTTTGTTTTGAATTGTTTTTAATAAGTGTAAGCTAACTGGAGTTACTGGGAGTCAGGCAGCATATAAATGATTATTATATTTATTATTATCACTTAACAATGGTAATTGGGACCAGAATTTCTGTTGCTAAGCAATGCAGTTGTAAAAGACATCATGTGACTGTGTAACTCAGTGACGGCAGATCTAGCTGTCCCCAGTCACCATTATTAAGCAAGGACCACAGGTGTAGTAGTTAAGCAAGCTTCTTACATAATTGTGAATTCTGGTTTCATGCTGGCTTCTCCATTGACTTTGCTTGTGGGAAACGAGCAGGAAAGGTCACAGATAATGATTATGTGATCACAGGATGTTGCAACAATTAGGAATTCAAGTCAGTTGCTAAGCACCCATATTGCAATCATGTGATCGTCAGTTTGATATGACAAATAGAACTTTGAGGATCAGTTATAACTACCATTCATTCAATGCTGTTGCTGAATCTATGGTTGTATATTATTTGCAAAACTATCTCCTCTGTATTATGGTAGCCACTAAATCTCAGTTCTTTGAAGCAATATAATGTTGCTTCAAAATATTGAAATCTGTGGAAGTCATCTGAAATAGCACCAAGCTAAATTTCTAGTATTTATATTTAGAAATATGAGTGTTTTAGGACTACAATTCCTACAATTTTAAATAAGTATTGTGAACAGGCACAGCAAATTATGCCTGTATCAAATTAATATATTTAATCTTCCCAATGTCATTGAAGTCTTGTTTTTTTCTGTTGTTCATTTAACATAATTTTAGTGGTATAGTACCAAATTGGAGTTTTATTGTCTTGAATAGTCAGCACTGAAAAGTTTTTGTCTTTCCCTTCAGTATGGAAAGAAGAAGCTGAAATACTTCCCTTATAATCATCAACATGAATACTTTTTTTTGAGTAAGTATAGTTCTTTATAGAGAAGGCAGAGCTGATGTTTATTTTCTGCATATTTTCCCATAAACTGTCCCCAACACAGATATTACAATCAATTCACTGATGTTTTCCTCTATATGTTAAAATTGGTTTGTAAGTTAGAAGCCCTATCTCTTTCTAAACTTTTTGGGAAGTGGACATATTTGACAGTGTCAGAGCACAGTCCTGGGAATTGGCTAACTTCAAGATTCCAAAATGGCCATCATGACAAGCACAAATTGCTGCTGGGCACAGGCAATGCAGCTTGAATTTAAAACGTTTCACACTCACAATAAGGGTGTGTGTTGTTCTGACCGTAGTCGAATATTGAAAGATGCCTAACTTTGGGACGCTTCCAGAATAATTGGAACAGCATTGAAACATTTCCTGTAAAGTTAGAACAACTGTTTCTGTTTTGAACTGGAAACAGTATTTTAAGCTGTAAACATTTTAAAATTGAAATCAAAGTATGGTGAAACACCTATTGAGCACTCTCACAATTCTCTCAGCCACACCACATCTTTCTTAACTTAATCTTACCCAATGTATTTTTAAAGGCAGATGGATATTTCCAGCCCAGTTCAGGGCTGCACACCTACCATTTTTATTATCTAAGGAGGGCTAGAGTAGCTGTGCCAAGCATTCTTGTAAATAGTTGATGTTAGAGATTTATACTGCTTTCAGCATTCTCATTTCCTTTTTATCAGTTAAATAATATTTTAAAAATTAAAGAAGTGGGCCAGGAGCCATGGGGGCAAGAGGGGAGATGTCTGTAGGTACATTGGTTCCCAGTGGGTATATATTGGAAACACAAGTTCTGATTATTTTAATAGGTTAAAATATTGGGCCAAACACAGATGCAAAACAGCATTTCTCATCATTTACTGCCATATACTTCCAGAGAGAGAGAGAGAATGCTTCACTGCAGACATTTATTTTGTATGTTGTTTTACAGTCCCAGGACACCATTCTATGTTTTGTGTTGCCTGCTTCCCCTAATGCGTGTTGTTTTGTTCACAGTTTTCCCACCTCTCCTTATTCCAGTCTATTTCCAAATGCAAATCTTCACAACAATGTTCAAACACAAGTTCTGGGTGGTAAGTGAAAAATCCCACATGCCTTTTATTGCTTTCATTTCTCTGCATGAAATGAAAATTCATCTGCAGAAGATCTCAGCTGAGAGGGTGAAGCAAAGTCTCTATGCATATTCTTTGGAAAAGAAATAATTGTTGGCCTAGAGATAAAAATATATATATAGCATTTGCCATGTATAATGTTTTCCTTGTCTCCTAGGACCTGGCATGGGCCTTCAGCTACTATGTACGCTACTTTATCACCTACATCCCATTTTATGGATTTCTTGGGTCCCTGCTTCTCCTCACCTTTGTCAGGTAGGGTTAGCTACTAAAACATTTAAAAAGTACTTCTGCTGGTTTATAACAGTCTGAGAAGTTCAAGACCGGATAAGTTCATCTGAAGAAGATCTCAGCTGAGGCGATGAAGCAAGCTCTCTGTGCATATTCTTTGGAAAAAAATAATCGTTGGCCTACAGATAAAAGGCATATAGCATTTGCCATGTTTAATGTCAAATGTCATAATGTCAATTCATCTATTTCCAAACAAATCTGCCCAATGTTCATGCACAAAAAGACCACATTGTGACTGATTGATATAAGTCCTCACTTAATGATGGTAATTGGAAGAGGGAACTCTGTTGCTAAGCAATGTGGCTGGTAAAGTATGACTTCACATGACCATTCTGACTTACGACAGCAGTTGTGGCAGTCCCAGTTGTCACTGTTAGGTGAATCCTGTGTGGTTACAGCAACTCACAGTTATGTAATTGCCATTTGCAACCTCCTGCCAGCTTCCCCTTTGTCTTGGCTTGTTGGAAGCTGGCAGTGAAGATTGGAAATGGCAATCATGTCACTGCAGGATGCTGCAGTGTTGTAATTAGGAGCCAATTGTGAATTGTGATCATGTGATTGTGGAGATGCTGCAATGGCTGCAACTTTAAGGACCTGTCTTCTGTTCCCTTGTCCAGTGTCATCATAACTTTGGTTGTTGAATGAGTGGTTGTTCTACATGTGCTTGTTTTTGCTATAGACAAGCATTATCTGAACCTTCCAGCAGTAGGGTATTTTGTTGGAATTTTGCCCTCGTAGCACTGTCCTTGATTTTATCAATTGTTCTAATATATACTTATCATTGATTGATTGATTTGGTTAGATTTGATTTGTGTGGCTGCTCATCTCATCATGACCAGTCTAAACAGCTAACAATGCATTAAAACACAATCCACGATAACATCAAAACAGTATTAATATTAAGAGCTGCTTTGCAGAGTGAAATGAGTGACAATTACATGTAACAAAATAAATCACCTAGAAAGGCAGCTGATTGGTAAAAGCCAATCTACAATGAACTCGGAACCACAACTACGCTAGCTTCGACTTACCTCCTGACCCCCACAAAAACATTCATGACTTCAACATTTTCCAGAAGCTTAGCAGAGTTGAGTTCAACCATATCTTGACAGATGAGGTATTCCAAAACCTAGGTTTTACAGCAGAAAAATCCTGTAAGATGACATTAATCAATGCTGCTGAACAGATGGATGGAAATAGCTGTGGTGGCACAGTGGATAGAGTGCAGTACTGCAGGCTACTTCTGCTGACTGCTGGTGCCTGCAATTTGGCAGATCAAACCTCACCAGGCTCAATGTTGACTCAGCTTTCCATCCTTCCGAGGTCGGTAAAATGAGGACCCAGATTGTTGGGGGCAATAGGCTGACTCTGTAAGCTGCTTAGAGAGGGCTGTAAAGCACTGTGAAGTGGTATATAAGTCTAAGTGCTATTGGTATTTCCACATATAACCCTTTCCCACTGTTAATTGGACTCTAAAAACCTGTTTTTCCTTCCAGGACTTGAGTTAGATGTTTCAAGAGAGGGTGGAGGGTTAGTTGCCGGATGTTGTAAATATATATTGCAATGTACTGTTCTCTCAGGTGATTGTTGTGCTGTTATATAATGTGCATATATCTGTGTGTCTATATATCTATGCTTCTCTCTTTTTTACCTTGTGAAGCCACCCAGAGTAATTTTGGAGATAGAAATTTGATGTATAAATCAATAAAATAAAGGCAAATGACACATTAGAGAACAACTGTATGCCTATAAAATGTGGGAAGTTTAAGACTGCTCAGATTGTTCTGACCTATTATTAAATTACTGGACATAAACCTAATTTTGATCCTTTTGTTAGCCATAGTTTCTCTAGATTAAAGCTTCTGGGCATTTGAGCTCAATCCCCTCTCTCTTTCTTGCTCTTTAGGTTTATGGAAAGCCATTGGTTTGTTTGGGTTACTCAGATGAATCATATTCCAATGGAAATTGACAGAGAGAAGCACAGAGACTGGCTCAGCTCCCAGGTAAACGTACTTTACTGAAATCTCATTCCTATCTGGGAATAAGTGTCACCAAATCCAGGGGAGTTTCTGAGCAACCATGCTTGGAATCCTACTGTGTCCTACTGACTTTATCTCAGGTTAGATGAAACTAACAAAATGTTCCTCCATGCTCCACACTTCTTCCAAAGCAGACTATACTGGGTTAAGGATTTAATTTAGCAAAATTTTAATTTAGCTAAATCCTTAGTCATCATTAATACTGCAAACATCAATTTAGTCTGGCATCTTGAAACAAAGGAACAATAGTTGACCTATTTTTCTAAAAACATGAAGCTGGCTATAATTCAGATCTATACTTTGTTCTGAATGTTGTTTGAAACATATTATTTTTAAATTTCCTGCCCCTTGCTATACCTCACTATTTTGAAGAACTCAAAAGATTACTATTTTAGTCTGCAGTCAGAGTAATAGATTGTAGCATGTCCACAGTTCTGTAATGGCAGATTTTACCAAAAAAATAAAGTAATGAATTTGAACTTAATCCCTTTTCAAATTCAGATTTATTGGGACTCACAATTGCCTTTCTTTCACAGCTGGTAGCTACTTGCAATATTGAGCAGTCTTTTTTCAATGACTGGTTCAGTGGACATCTGAACTTTCAAATAGAGCACCAGTAAGTATGTAATATTTGTTTCTGAAGGAATGTTGGCAGTGAAAATGCATGCACAAGATGTAATAGTCACCTTGGAGAAGCTGGAATAAGAAAAAAATGATGGCCAAAAGCAATAACCATAGAATATCAGTATGCCACAAGGATATGTAATATTTATTAAATTTATATGCTGCCCAGAGTCATTTTGCAGAGTGAGATGGGCAGCATATAAATTTAATACATAAATAAAAGTGTTGGGACTCATCTCCGGGGGGGATGAGTCTGCCTACCGAGATGAGGTGGACCGGTTGCTTTCGTGGTGTGGAGACAATAACTTAGTCCTCATCACCAATAAGACCAAGGAGCTTATAGTGGACTATAGAAGAAACAGATCAGACCTCCAGCCCTTGCTTATCAATGGAGACCGAGTGGAGCAAGTGGCCAGTTTTAAGTTTCTGGGTGTTACCCTAAAAGAGGACCTGACCTGGGATGCTCACATTGCAGCTCTAGTCAAAAGGGCCCAGCAGAGATTACATTACTTGAGACTTCTCAGGAAACCACAACTGGATGGAAAACTGCTGGTGACCTTCTACCGCTGCGCCATAGAGAGTATCCTAACTTACTGCACCTCTGTATGGTTTGCCAATTGCACAGTGGCAGATAGGAAAACACTCCAGGGGGTGAACGTCATTGCCCAGAGGATCATGGGTTGTCCTCTCCCCTCTTTGGAAGAGCTTTATAGCTCCTGCTGCCTTAAGAAAGTTCAAAACATTCTTAAAGATCCATCTTATCCTGGGCATCCTTTTTTTGAACTATTATCATCTAGCAGATGGTACACAATAATAAAAACAAGGACAAATAGGCTAAAAAACAGCTTCTATCCCAGGGCAGTAGCTCTATTGAATTCTACTGTATAGTGCAGTTTTGGTGCAGTGTCGGGGGTTTTCAGTTCAATGTGTGGAGGGTGAAGGATGTGTATTTGTGTTTATTTTCATGGTCATGATAGGCACTGAAGATGGTGTTTGATTTCATTGTACAAGATGCAGTGACAATAAAGTAAACTAAAATGCAATGTACATAAAACTATTGTACAGGTAGTCCTTGACTTAAGATTGAGCCCAAAATTCTGTTGTTAAGTAAGTTTTGCCCCATTTTATGACCTTTCTTGCCACAGTTGTTAAGTGAATCACTGCAGTTGATAAGTTAGTAACATGGTTGTTAAGTGAATCTGGCTTCCCCATTGATTTTGCTTGTCAAAAGCTTGCAAAAGGTGGTCACCTGGACTTAGGACACAGCAATGGTCATAAGTATGAACTAGTTGCCAAGCATCTGAATTTTGAACATGCTTTCTTCTTCTGTTTTATTTGAGTTTGTTTCCCACAATGCCACGCCACAACTACCACAAGATAGCACCGTTGGTAAAGTCCCTGTGTGCCAAGTATGAAGTTCCTTATGAAGAAAAACCTCTTCTGAGAGCATTTGCAGACATTGTTGGGTAAGAGACTCAATGGGGATTGTCGGTCTGTTTTATCTTTTGGTTGAGTATAGAGACACCAGTACAACTTCATAATGCCAGCCAGCCAACTTTATATACTGATGGGTTCCACATACAGAAGTGCAGAAATACTTAATCTGTATGCTGATAGATCTGGGAGTGTTTACTATAAACTGAAGCTTGGGAGAAAGCTCAGAGTCGGCTTACACAATCAGACTTCTGTTATACTGTTGGAATCTCACACCTCTCTTCTTACTCTTTAGATCCCTAAAGAAATCTGGAGCGCTGTGGTTGGATGCTTACCTCCATAAATGAAGCTGGATTTCGGTGAAGAGAATGACTTAGCAAAGGGGAGGGCTGGGGAAAGGGGTAATGTGTATTCTTCTTGTCTGATTTCAGTCTGTATGTGTACACACATTTGGAAAGAAGTTTCCTGTACTGTATTGTCAAACTGAAGTTGAGGCAGATTGAGGGAACCTATTTTAAATCAGAAGGCATTTTAGATGTGTCAGATACTGGGGGGAGAAAGAGAGAGAAAAGATTCAACAAAGGGTAGCTCAGAAGGTTAGGACCTTTTAAAGAGAAGAGATAAAGGTGTGAAAGAAGGAGCAAGTTGATCTTTGTATCTTCTAAGTCTTGCTGTTGTAGTTCCAACTTTGTCTCTTATCCCAGGGATTTTCAAATTTCTTCAGGATTGGAACCTTCAATTGAAAACAACAATTCAGAACCCAATTAAATTTAAACAAAGCAATGACTCATCATTAATACTAATATCCTCCCCAACGGGGTTGGAGTTTTTGAATGTCAGCCAAACAGCCCCACCCTTTCCATTGTATCATGGAAAAATTGCTGCAGACAGGTTTAAGTGGATCTTTTTCTTGCTCTTAGTCTCTTGTGAAACTCCAGGGTTTTATAAAACACAGTTTGAAAAAAGCTACAGAGGTGATTGGGTTACATAGAGTCCAGCTATCCATTGGATCTACATTAAATACAGGAAGCTTAGTTGGTTCCTTCAAAGAATCAACTGTAAACAAACACATTTAAGGATTATCCTCCTTAATAATGGTCACACAAGAGAGGAGGAAAGGGTGAGATACATTTAATTCAGAGAATAATATCTAAAATATCAGGTAAAACAATTTGCATTCCATCCCACATATTGATTTTTTAAATTTGATTTAAGATCAAGTAACTAAGCATTATCAGACATCTAATGGAACAGTTCTCCTTTTCCAAAATCATCAGGTGAAAATGCTTAAATTCTCTTTTTAAAAAATCAAATAAGAAGCATTGTCTCGTCAAATGAAGCTTCTGTTCTCAGTTTCCAACATACACATGCACACACACACACACACACACACAGAGAGAGAGAGAGAGAGAGAGAGAGAGAGAGAGAGAGAGAGAGAGAGAGAGAGAATCAGAGCTGCAAAATGTTTTCTCTGAATTTTGATAAAAACTTGCTGGGGATTTTTGCATATGCATATGTTTCTTGAATTTTCCGCACCTCTTGTCATCCTGTTTGAAGAAAATTTAATGTGATTCACTTACACTGAGCCTCCTGAAGGTCAGTTCCAATTCTCTCTTCAATGAACATTACAAATGCCTGTTTGCACTGGATCAACCAGCCTAAACCAACTTTGGGCCATGTGTGTATTCCTAACTAAATAAGAGATACTGTGTGCATATGAATGTGCATGCATGGTTCACCAGCCATTGCTGTAGACAGACAGCTGCACTTTAACAGAATGGATTTTAGAATAAGCAAACAGGAAAGTCTATTATCATTCTCCATGCCTAAACAGCTGATCAGTAACAACAATGGGCTGTACATTTACATTTTTACACTAGGACCAGCAAGTTTGTTTTCTGCATCATTGCTTGGTTCAGTCACAATTTTTACAAGAGCTGACATAAAACAGAATCATGCTTGCTTTAAACAGAAACTTTTAAAGATTTGTTTCAGGTTCCATGCATGGTAATTCTTAATTACTACTGTATATACAATTGCAATCAAAATCACTGGCATTTTTTTCCTCCTCTTAATTAGTCTCATCTATTCTACAATATCTAATTCATTGAGGAGTAGATTTAAAAAAAAAAAAAACCATTTACACTGTATGGCCAATGTTTTAAAAGGTCCAAAAGTAGGCAAACTTTGTCAGACAGTGTGATATGTGGATATTGCCTTAAATCTGATTACAGTCACCTGGTCTATTTTCCAAAATCAAACTAATACAAGCTCTCTCTAGTTTTATTCCTGATGTGGAATTTCAGAGGCCTTTTAAGAATTAGTTTAATCACTTACAATTCATGTTAATAGTTTGTCTTATATATTGAGAGGACACTTGACTTTGTTTTCTGTGGTTGTATAGATAATTTCCTCTGTTAGTTTTGCTAATTAAAAGCATCCATATATTTTCAAGTTTTCCAAAAAGTTAAAACTAATAATTTAATTATGTAATTTTTGACCATATGTGAAATTGTCCCAGAGAAGCTGGCATCTAGTTAGAGTCTTAGACAGTTAGGGTAATTTGATCAGCCCTGTGAAACTCATTGGAAATAGTTGCCCTGGCTAACATACAATATAGGTTTCTTGTGATTAAAACATAGAACATAATTATCTACCCACATATACCACACTGAGCTTCTGAAGAAAAGCTTCTTTAAGAAATTAATATGTCCATATGAATGTATTCCCCAGAAATGCTAAAGACATTGTGATGGGCAATGCAATATGTTTGGTGAGTCAGTTCTTGCACATTTCAGAACACTAAGAAGTGTAATCAAATACGCATCTTAGAAGCTTTCAGAAATTTCAATTCAACAGTTTCAATATTATAAATCAAGTGCACTAATTATATGTATGGTACTACTAGCAAAGAAATCCAACTGTATGATGAGCAAACAGGCATTTAATTTCTTCTTATAGCTAATGAAATGTTGGACTCTCTTTCTCAATAGTTTCGTTATACAGATCAAACTAATGCAAGTACAGAAAGACATTTTAAAAATTTAAGAAGTGCAAAAAGGGGAAATAAAAGGAACAAAAAAGGTAAAAGAAAAAACCTCTCCCTATATCCTCAGCAAGCATACTCAACAAGTTATCACTAATACAACCAAAAAACTCTTAATTCCACAGCTCACTCTATTCTCCATCCTGTCTCTAAAATGTCCATGTTAATCAGTGAAACCCAGTAAGCATTAGCAGAAATAAGTATTATAATTTTTTATCTGATACACCCAATTTGAACCCTTTTGTATTTATATCTAGTTATATTTAAAAATCCCCCTTTCCTCTATTCAAATAATCAGAGTTTAGTCCCAATCAAAAACAATTAAACGTTACCAGAAATAACCATCATCATCCAGTTCCACTCAGAAAACCATTTAACTCCACCAGCAAAAACAATTCATTATTTTAATCTTGATCAAATAAATTGAGTTGTATTCATTCTTCTTTCTCCCAACGATCTTTGAATTCATCACAGAAAGTTCTAACATCTGCTTTCGCATGTTCATTTTCTCTCTTCTCGCAAAATTCTTTTCATTTTTGTCAGACTCCTTTGTCAGGCTCCTTTTGTAATTCCAGTGTGACAACTTCAGCAAATATTTTTGATAAATCCAATATAAGAAAAGTATCCACATCACTCTTCTGATTTATTATTTGTACATCTTTTAATATTTTTTAAATCTTCATTCAATTTCAGTTTGTAAATCCGTTGTTTTCATCTCTTTCTTATAGGCTATAATTTTTTAAACCATCTGTAAGTCAATTTCAGTTTTATTCAATGGGATGTGTTCAATAACACCTTCTGATTCTATTATAGTAGTAGTCTCCAACTTTTCTGGCTCCGGCGGCATCAGTGATGGGAGGAGATGGTTTCGTGCGTGTAACCTAATCCTATACATGCATAAATGAAGCTTTGCACTCTCGCCCATCACTTGCACTGCACAGTTTCCCACGGGGCCCGGACCAGTACCAGTCCATGACCCAGAGGTTGGAGACCCCTGTATTATAAAGATAAATAACTCTTCCTTCACTCTTTCATCAAACATTTATTTTAAGGTAACCATTGGTGTCCTCTAGTGTTGAACTTTCAAAGTCATCTTATCAGTTTCAAAGTATAAACAAGAGCATTTTCCCATGAGCATCCACCCTTTCAATTAGATTCAAAGTCTTAAATCAAGTCACCTCAATCCCTTGATTTAACATTTTCTAACTCCAGCAATAATTATTATTTGCTATATACTAAAAATGTTAGAAATCTTTAATGTTTTTTTAAAGAATTGAAGGAAACTCACCCGTAATTTCAATAAAGTTTGCCAGACTGAAAGTTCTCAATCTTATTTTTTTGAAAAACCAGCCAAATGGGAGAAAAATTAAATACAAAGTGATTAAGAGATGAACCTCAGTCAAACATGATCCATATAGGCATCACATGCTGGCCATGCCCACCCCTGGTATAGCAAAGGTGGGGGAATTGCGATATATCATGTGATGATAACATGATGACAATGTGAGTTTGACACCCCTGATACAGACAATGTTAGTGGCTATAAGCACAAAGAAACCCCACAATTCACAACTCATAATTAGTTGACCACAAAAAGAATGCATTTCCTGCTGTCTCCTCACAAAAACAGCTGTGTGTACATGCAGGTAACCTTGCAATCTCTTTACTTTAGAGATATTTTGGCAGCACAAAAGCATTTGGGAGCCATTTTCAGCCACAGTATGTTTTTCTAACATCAGTTTGTCATGATGGCTCACTGGAAACTCTCAAAGAGTACATCTCAAATTACAGTCAATTTTTTTCCTAATGCCTATTCATTGCTTCTTGATTATTGGCAAGTAATGGAATTCCTACTTGCCACTATGCATATAACTACCAGAAATGTGGTTGCAACATTAATCACTCAAGAAACTTTTTATTATGAATCTGAGAATCTCTGGTTCCAGAATTAGCAGAAACATTCCATATTTTTAGCCTCTTTAAAACATAATATAGGGAGTGAGTAAACATTAAATTATGGATAACACAATACTTTGCCTTAATCCAGACTTTTCATATCTGATGTCCTCCAGATGTTTGGAGCCAGAGCCTTTGAGCTTTCCTAGATTGGGATATGGGAGTTTTGAAGTTCTGGAGGGTAGCAGAGAAAGGCAGTCTTAATCTCTCAGGGCATGACCCAGCCAAAGTTAAATGTGAGCTGTTTTAGGCACATAATTTAGCATTGACTCATATAAGTGTTGGCATTTGGCTTAGTCATGCCTGCCTAGTTCCATGAATGTACTTCATTTTCTTTGTTGCAACAGGAATGAGCACAAAAATAAAGGTCCTGTAGCATCTCTTATGTAGTCTTCCAATTGGACAGCTCACTTAATCTGAAGGCTTCTGATTTCTTTGTTGTTCTCTCAACCTTTTGTTCAAGAACTTGTTCAAGAACAATTTATTTCTATCAGAACTTGCAGGAATTTCCTACAGTTTTGTTCCACTCCAGACACCTTGCATTGCTTGGCTATCTTCTATTTGTTTAACTCAGGAGGAGCCCCAGAATATTGGGATTTCAGCCTTCTCGATTCAATAGCTTTATTCTTACCAGTTTTTTTTTTTAAGTCTGTAAAACACCCTACACTGCCAGCAGTTTGGGGAAAGGCAGCTGCATCTATTGATAGCACCTCTAGGTAAGAATCATTGTTTAAAATAAACAGCAATGTTGCTGGGACAATCCACAAAAGAAGGGGCCAATGCACAGTTGTACATAACAATTTTTTGCAAATATAACAGCCCCACTAGAATAAGATAGGGAGAGGAAAGGAAATGGTGTGATAGTTACTTTTCCTTCCTTAACTAAAAATCTCAATGGTTACTTAAATTTTCTTGTTTGTGAAAAAACACTGAAAATAAATGGTAGAAATAAAGCTTTTGCATTTGGAAGACAAGTCTCTTTTATTGTATATGTTCTTGGAGATATTACCAAATACTTGGTAATCACATGCACACATCAATTGGTACATTTATATGTCAATCCATATGATTATTAGTTCTAAATATTGGGTATTTGTGTTCAGTTTTTGGTTTTCTGACCATTTTTTTTTATCAGACTAATCTGAATCAATAGGTTCCAAAGGAGTTAGTGTTTTCTCTAGATTAGTGAAGCATCATAAAATATTGCACTAAGCAAATATACTGTAGAATCCAAGTCATGCAAAATATTTGTTCCACTCTACATTGCCCTGATCAGATTCTACTTGGAATACTTAGTTCTGTATTCCATAATTCAGAAAGGACATTGGCCAACTTCAGAGAAGAGCTACCAAAA